CCTAAACCCCTAAACCCTGAATCCTACAGGTCCCTCTACAAATCCGGAATGGCCGCCCTGCCCTCGGGCGAGTGCTTCCAAGCCGCACAGCCTCGGGCACGTCTGGGCCGGAGCTGCGAGAAGTGGCTTCGGGCTTTCAAGGTTGAAGGTCGACGGTTTGCACTCCAAACATTCAACCCTAGAGGCTGTAAACGCCGAGCCCTGAAAGCCTCAAACCCGCCGCTGAGCACGGAAAGAGGTCGACGTCGACGTTGGCGACACGTTTCTGCAGCGGCTGTCCATGCCTGCGAAAGGCAGGTTCGGGTTCAGAATGCGTTGGATTGAGAGCTTCATTCTATCATTCTGCGAACAAACCCGACATCCCAAAGGACGGCATAAGATAATATAGGAGCTTGCAATGAAGGGCTTTGGGTTTAATTCCGACGTCGCTTCATTCTGTTCTGATCGAATCTGGGAATTTTTGGCTTCGAGGGGTGTTTGGGCCTTGCACCGAAATTCCACAGTGGTGCGAGTCGGGGATGTCGACGATGTACAGCCGGGAAGCATGAAGACTCTGACTGTCTGATGCAAGTTCGGGGTCCGTTCGCAACAGGAGACATACTCCGTGAACCTGGTTTTAATAGACCAATGACTATCATCGTGTAGTCCCTAAACCCTAAACCCTAAACCCCTAAACACTAAACCCTAAAAGCCTTCAAAACTTAAACCCTAAACCCCTAAACCCTAAACCCTAGTACCTTGTTTGTCACCGAAAGCTGCATAGCCTGCATCATTTCAGAGCCAGAGCTTCTGGCATGAGGCAGACATGGAACAGGCGATGGCCATTCCAACGGGTGGCCACCACAAGTGAAGCAGTCTCAGACCATAGGGCAACGTACCAAAACCAAGCCGACACAGTCGGCCCCAAAAGCTTGGTAATTTTTGTTTTGACTCGCGCACTTGGAGGTGATACCAAGTGGACCATCGTAGAGATCTACGACTACACCTGTGCGCGCCTTGGGGTTCCGGATCGATCCTTCACCCTGTTGGTGCTGCGAACAGTTTAACTATTCTGCTTTTCTCCTTCTGCGTGTGGTTGAGGAGGAGGAGGACGGCGAGGCGGAGGAAGATGATGAAATCACTGGTGACATCTAGGATAGTTGTGACGTTGCAGGGTCATGCCGTCCATGATCATGATGATGATGATGATGATGATGATGATATATGCTGATATATGATGATGATCATGGTGATGATGATGGTGATGATGTTGATATGTTGATGCTGTTGTTGATGATGATTGGCGGTTCCGAAAAACGATTCGTCGTGGTAGAGTGGCGACATCAGTAATTATATTCGCACCTGTACCCATTAAATCATTAGGCAGCCGAAAATATCGTTGCAGTAGTCTGCAGCAGCGGCAACCAGCAGCAAGAGTATCAGCCGCAGCAGTGAACGTACTTCAAAGGTGATGCCCGCGTACTTAGGTTTGACTGAACCGGCATTCAGCCTCCACGCAGTCTTTCGACAGTGGCAAGGGAGTGTAGGGCCTCTATACAAGAAGCCTGCCACGAGCTACAGTACGACAATCGTTGATGAAAACAATGGTTTTTTCGACAGCCGCCCTAGTTTGAAGATGTGTGTCATCGTTGTTACAGAGACTTGGCTGGCTCTCGGACCTGTCTCGGCTGACTGAGGTCCGCATTGCTGGTATGCTGCCGGCAGCTCAGTTCTGTGATCTGATCTGAGACTTTCAAAGCCGCCACAAATCATGCTTTACCGGTTCAGTTTTGCATTGCTTGTTGTTTAAGGTTTGCCGTGGGGAGATGAGCCCGCCTTTAGCATGAACAAATAATGTGCATGGCTTCTCGATCCTAGCAACTGCTGCTGATGCTTCCGGAACATGCTGTCTGGTTGATACCGATCGACTGCCGAAGGTTTTCTTCCTGAATGCTGAGGGCGTTCTTACTAGTTACTAGTTTCCCCTTGTTGCAGCCACTTAACCCCTAAACCCTAAACCGATACGGTTGAGGTCACTTAACCCCTAAGCCCTAAACCCAAACGGTTGAGGTCCCCATCTACATGCACGTCGCAGAAGCGTGACTCCGGGGCACAGCGTCTTCGGAGTCTTGTGGCTTTAGAGCTTGGCTCTCACAGAGCGCAGCTGCTACAGTGAGCAGTGCGGAAGTTCAGTTTGCCAAACCATACCGCAGAAAGACAACAGAAGTACTGTATGTGTTGTGTACTATCACTGCTTTCGCGAGAAAATGTCAAGGAATATCCCGAAAATGCAACTTGCCGGACGCAATGCTTGATTGGTTCACTGCGCTGCCTGTGTGCACGTAGGGTGACAACGGGTGACGCACATGTACGGACTGCGAGAGGTACGCAGACAACCCGCGCATCCAGTTCACTTCCATCAACTGCCACTTGAGCTACAACATGGAGGCACTGCAATAAACCCCCTAAACCCCTAAACCCCTGATCCCTAAACCCCTAAACCCCTTAACCCCTTAACCCCTAAACCCCTAAAACCTAAACCCCTAAACCCCAAGAGCGGCAGACCCGGAAGCCGACATCATTTTGACATCGCTTAGAGGCCTCGAAGCCTTGATTGGGTACTGTGATGCAGACGGGAACCAGGGAGGCAGAGGTAATCCCTTGTTATGACCTTGCTGCAGGTTTAAGTTTGCGGCCCGAATCCCCGAGTGTGTGCACCTGTGAGCACCAGGACGACGCTGATAGATGAAAGGGCCCTTTCCGTAGGCATGAAGTCGGGTTCGCTTGCCTCGACCCTGCTTCTGCGGGAAGGTTTGCTTCCTGCTCGAAAACATTGGGCGAGTCAAGGACACAGGTTTCTAGGTACGGCGTCTTTTTGTAGGGTGGGTGGGTTCTGGAGGACTTCGGCAGAGCAGGACTGGGTATGACAGAGAGGGCACTGCAGTTCCTGGTATTCAATACCAAGTGCCCCCAGCCCAAAGTCGTAACCCCGAGATGCAGGGAGGGGGCAGCTGATCTGGAAAGCGCCCTCTATTGCGAGCCGAAGCCCTAAACCCTACAGTAGTGCCTAGCCTGCGTGGCTGAGCCTAGAGCTCTTCGCAAAGCCCGGAAGTTGCCCCAGGATTTTCCAACCTTCTTGGCCTGCCCACCTCATGAAACGGTCACATCGGCACGTTTGAGGATAGAGGCTTAGGGTTAAGGGCTTCGGGTTGTTTCTGTTGGAGATTTGAGGTTTTCGGGTTAGCGCAGATGAGGACTTTTTGCTAGGGGGCGGCGGGCGTGTGGGGTTCTCGCTTGGTTGTCGCTTCGAATATGGGGTGCTTGACTAGACGCATCGTTGTTCAGTGCTGACAAGGTTAAAAACTTGTAGCAGGAATGGTCATATACCAGAGCAGAATGCTTTCGAATCGAAACGGTCCGAAGAAATGTTCAGACCGTTATTGTCCCAGTACACAGCTGTTGCTTTTGGGCTTTAGCAGGAACCCGGAAACCGTAAGTCCGTGCGCATTGATCTTGGAGATCCGTGCTAGTGGGTACTCGTAGCAGATAGGATTGCGGCACAGCGATGCAAGCTAAACTAAGCTTTAATAGCGCTTTTGAAGGATAAGAGTATGTTTACGTCGATACTACGAATATGCTTGTCTTCACTACCATAGTGACATAGTGTCATCATACGTGTTGCTATTGCTACAACACCGGGTGATTTCCTGTCTACAGCTGTCGTTCACCTACCTGCGCAGCTAACTATTGCTATTAAGCTGCCATTAGCAGCAACGGTGCTGCCAACGATTACATAAAAAATCTTGCTGCTGGCCAGCTAGCTACTTCATGTCGGTTAAGAGCTGTTACCACAGTCGCCAGTCTGCCCATGCCCTCCACCCTGTAGCCTTTCACATCCGAAACCATGGTCAGGACTCCCTCTCTCCCTCTCTTCCTCTGTCTCTCGCGCTTTTTTTTTCTCTGTGAGCATGTCCATTGCAAGTAGCAGGCACGGAGTGCAGATCAACGGCTGGCGTGGCGTGTAGACGGGTAGCACGACATAAGCCGCGCAGGTGGATGCAGACGTCCAGCTGAGGCATAGTCATGCAGTCCGGATCCCCGACAAATCGTAGGAGCGCGTTGCCTGTCAGTAGGGTAGGATTTAAGGACGGGCTCGGGACTGAAAGCAGCATTGTGTGGCTGCGACTAAGATGTCGTTTGCATCGACTTTGCTACTTGTTCTCGAGTTGTGTTGGGCTCATGAGTATGCGTGTCGAACATCCCTTGCTGGTTGAAGTTTATCTATCTGCAGATTTGTTTATCGATACATGCATGCAGGCGCATGAATTTCTCATAATGTCATGCGAACATAGCCACGCACATAAGTACATATGTAGATATGCATATGTATGTCTCTCTGTGTCTTTCTCTCTCTCTCTCTATACATATATATATATATACACATATAATACATATAATAATAATAATAATAATAATAATGATAGTAGTAGTAATAATAATAATGCTTGTAGAATATGTGCATACATGTACTCGCATACCTATGTGAGCATTCATAACTCATACATGCATGTATACGATTGTATACCTGCCTACCTACAGTGCCTGCCTGCCTGCCTGCCTGCATCATCCATCGATACATACGATATTACACATTCGCACATACAGGTTGTGCATACGACTACCGCTTTGCATACTTGAGGCACAGGTCATGGCAAAGCGACTGCCGCCTAACCATCCGCAGCTTGGCATATGATTTGAGGTTCTAGGGTAGCTCCACCAATCGCATCGTAAAAAGTGTCTTCTTTGTTTAGAGAAGTTTCTGGAACTCCAGGGGCATCTCCCGGGCTTGGGCAGCAGGCACACACGATAAACGGCTGAATGCGCCGAGGCAAAAGATGCCGCTAGGCCGCTAGGCTTTGCGGAGACCCCGAAACCCAAATACTGAGCCCTGAACCGTGGACGCTTCAAAGAGAGCTGCCAGAGAATCCGAGGACGCGGCTGGCGTTGATGAAGCTGCCCGGGCTAGTTTGCTCGCCTGCCGATGCGATTTGGTTTCCCCGTGCTGTCCAGCACTATCCAGCAAATATCAGATCACGGACTGACTTGAACTGTTAAAGATGTGGAACTCGGTTAACACAGGGTCCACGCAGGAATGCATGGTCCCCTCTGACTGCATCCTTGAACAAGTTGACAGGATGGCACACTGCCGCCACAAGTTCGTAGAGGCGCAAGAGTTCTTGGGAGCTTGGAATTTGGGACGACCCTCTGCGCCCTGAGCCCAAAACCATCCAAAACCCTAAGCCCTGAATAACCCTATACCCCAGCTACAACCCTAACCCCCATACCCCAGCTATAACCTCAGAACGCCCTAATTCCTTCCAGGAGGACGCCAAGTCTGGACTGGAGGACCCATGTGGTCGAGACTGTGAAATCCCTGCATCGACGAAGTGAAGTCACAGCTCCGTTGTCCATGTCATGACATCTGTCATGAGCCTTGAACAACGAACTGGCAGCTGCGGTAGTCGTAGTGGCTTTAGTATGAACTTTATTCCTGCTTTTCCTCTTCTTATTCACCTTCTTCGTCTTCTTACTGCTACTACTACTACTACTACTACTACTAGCCACCCCCCCCCCCCCCTACCAACTACA